CCGTCTTTTGCGAATAGACGAACCCTGCGAAGGGTGAGCGTGTAGTATAGAATAGAGTGGGAGCTACTTACCATCTGGGTTGACTACGGGAAAGATGTAGAAATCGTACTTGTCGACGTAACCCTTGACCTCTGTCGAGTTGGCATAGTTGGACATGAGCTCGTACGCAATATATTCAGTGACCTACGCATGCATTAGTAAAAAAGTTGTGGGAAATTGAAAAACGCTCACCATGCTGGTGATCCATTCACGGGCGTGGACGTTCGAGTGCCAGATGATCGCGGGCTTGCTGCCACTACCCGACGAACCAAAAATGTTGATACCAGTGATTTCACGGCCCTCGACAGAGTTGCCAGCCGTGACTACCTTGGCATTATTCGGGTATGCAGCCGCGAGGTCGGAAAGGAACGTTAAATGATCGTCATAAGGATGGTAGGCATTGAACCACGCCGGCGTGGCAAAGCCACCTTCAAAGAGTCAGTTGCGTGAATACTGAGAAACGCGAGTACCCACCCGCCTGCTTGGCTGTCTTGTAAAATTCGTCAGGAATTTTGGATTCCGCTAGGATACTCGATCCCAAATCTTCATGCATCGTGCCAATAGGCTCCAGGATGCCGGCTTCGTTCAAAACTTGTTGAGCAGCAGTCATAAAAGTGTCATAAGAGGCAGAGGGAACCTCGACGTCGAGGTGCGAGTTGACGGTCGGCACCGTCGTCCATCGTTCCAAATTCAAATTCGTCACGAGCGCGTTCAACTTGTCGAGGGCTTTGATGGATGGGCCAGTGGGTATACGTACGACTTTGACGCCCATGTAACGAGACGCAGGGTTGGGAGCCGGTAGGACGCTTGCGAATGCGTCCGTCGCGAGAAACGAGAGGCAGAGGGCAACGAATGTGGCGAGCTTCATGGCTGTCCTTTGGAAAGAAAAGAAAGAAAAGGAAAGGGGGGGGGATCAAGGTCAGTGGAGGTAGCTGCTAGCTAACTTTTAGCCTTTAAGTAGTCGGAACCTCGCGGCCGGATTGAGGCTAGTGGCAGAGCAACCGGGCGATCAGGCGTTTTTTCACCTGCGGGTTTATATATCGGGCCCACACACACGCTCACGAATTGTCTTGCCGGTTGTCATTCCTAAATGGTGACAATGGCTGCTCGGATGTTGTGGTCATGCACGGTGGCCGTTCAAAGCATGGCGAGTCGCTAGGTCCATATGGACTAAAAGTGTCGAGTATGTCGACTATTGTCGTAAACATGTTCGATTCCCAAGGGAAGCTGAACAAAGTGGAGCTCGGATATGCACACTTTGCTTCGAACCTCGACACAGAATATCGCAAACCTAGATCCGAACGCGTACTATTGACAAAATAAGAGTTTGGTTTGCCCGGTAGCATGTGGCCATTTGTAAACCGTTGGGACCTTACTGGGAAGCCGGCATTTCCGACCGTTGACGGTAGTACTAAAAGGGCAAAAGGCCTAAATTTTGCGATAAAAATAGATCGTTGAATCTTGGACGCATGAGATAAACGGTCTCGAGGAACGCTATTGGGGAAGGAGTACAAGGTTCAAATCTAGATGAGCACCATTAGGTTGAGTCTTGTCAATTCGCTGATACGTACGTTATGCCGACATAGGAAGGATTCAAACCTTCGACTTTTGTGGGCACTACTATATAATTGAAACGGCCCTCCGGGCAAGCGTGACCGTAGGGAATGAAGGAAATGGTCAACAGGCAAATATGAGGGCAGAACGAGATTGGCAGATATACGTCTTCAATAACCTGATTTATCCTTAATTCTTACCTTCCTCTAACTAGCTCGGCCTATGCAATGACTTTTAACTAAACATATTAGGACCATTCAACTGCTTTTCATTCGCAGACCTACTCTACACTTCTACATAATAAGCCCAACGGCTTATTTCATATTCTTTAGTAGATATTTGATCCCTTCCCAATTCTCGATGCCACTCGGTCGGATTTGACTGGCCGGGAGAACGAACCCATAGTTTCCGGTATCCCTCAGCTCGGT